CCCAGAGGGGTAGGCAGAGACTACAGACTTCCATTTGGCACGATCCTGACACACCTCTCTCGCCTCCTTCACATCCATACACCTACGCATGCATGCTCGTCGGTTAAGGGTACTCCTAATTTGGCCCGTTTTCAATAAATCGCCAATTTGGTCGATAAATTTTCGCCTAGGACGTCCCTTTCCGACTCTGCCATTCACTTCTGCAACATAAATTTTCTTTGTCACTCTTTCCTCATCCATTCTTTCCACATGACCAAACCACCGAAGCATTCCTTTCTTAATCCTGGTCACAACATCATCTTGCAAACCACACTCTTCTCTTATCACACAATTTTTCACCCTGTCATTCAGATTCAGCCCTAACATACTCCTTAACGACCGCATTTCTACTGCATTTATTCTACTCTCGTGCTTCTTCTGCCATACCCAACTTTCACTACCATACGTTAAAGTAGGGACCAACACAGCATTGTGAATTGCCATACGTGCCTTTTTTGACACATTTTGACTCTTCACAATAGAGTGCAGGGCTCCATTTACTCTGTTTCCTGCGTTCACTCGTCGTTCTATATCCTTATCATATCTCCCATCCCTGCTAAATACGCAACCCAAATATACAAACTCATCTACTTGCTCGATCAACTCCCCTTCTATTCTTATTTCACATATCGTTTTACTTTCATCTCTTTCAAAAACCATAATTTTTGTCTTACTTGCGTTCACTTTCATACCCCTTTCTTTTAATGATCTGTTCATTAATGTAACCATCATTTGCAACTCAGCCGCCGACGACGCAAGAATAACTTGATCATCGGCGTACAAAAGGCATTTGATGGTTAACTCACCCATTCTTAATCCGCATTCTTCAACTTTCAAATTTTGCAAACAACTGTCCATAAATAGGTTGAACAACCACGGGGAAGCCACACAGCCCTGTCTGACACCTTTATGGATGCCAAACCAGTCCGAGTAGACCCCGTTGATCCTAACACAAGCACTAGAGTCCCTATAAAGAGATTCCAATGCCTGTATCAAGCCAGCGCTCAACCCAAATGCGTTCAGTGTTTGCCATAGCAGATTCCTATCCACTCTGTCATAGGCCTTCTCCAAGTCCATGAACGCACAAAAAACCTTTTGGTTTTTGGCCAAAAACTTCTCCGCGATCATGCGCATGGAGAAGACCTAAAGATAAAATGGCCTCAAAATCTTTTTTTGAGGGGATAGGTTCCCGAAGGGATGTAACAGGAGGCTATGAGGATGGACTGATGTCCAGTCATAGCTAGCCTGCATACCGTGGCTTCCATGTTGCTAAGCTGCGGAGTAGAAATGGGCGAGCATTGAAGTGTCTTCTTGTAATAGATGGCCGTTCCGCCGCCTCGGCGGTCGGGTCTGTCGTTACGAAGAAGAGAGAAGTTTTTAATAGAAAGGCCTCTAGTGTCCTTAGCTTTGAGATTAGTTTCCTGTAGGAGGAGGAAATCGATTTCACGATTCCGAAGAAAGAGCTTAAGCTCTGGGAGGTTATTTCGCAAGCCGCGAATATTAAATGATACAAGCGATAAACCCTTAGGTTTGATACGACCGTAAGATTTTGGTAGAGTAATTTGCACTGACATTGAAGTTAAGTTAATTAAGTTAACTTAACTTACAACGCTAACAAAAGATTGTTATGTTCTGCAAGAACGAGGAGACGTTCTTGCGGGGACTTCGCCGCGCGCAGTTTGCGTGCTACAACGGTGATTTCCCTAACGTCAATATTCCTAATAGCGGAATATAGTGTGTTGTAGTCGTCGGGTGTGGGCTCCGCTTCATGGGAGTAGGAGCTTATCTGCGATGGGTCTGCCTTTTTGGGCCCCCAGGGAAAGACTGGAGGCTGCATAGGCTTAGAGAAGCCCGGAGGGGGGCGAATTATGCCCTGAGGGGGGCCTAGGGGGGACCCTGAGAGGGTCGAGAGAAGCCCTGGATGGGCTGAGAAAGGCCCTGACGGGGCCGTTGTTGGAGGGCCGGGAATGAGCGGTCATTTACCGGCGGTGGAGCTTGCCTACTGGGGCGAGGTTGAGGTGCGCGTGGGTAACCTCTGTAGTTAGCCGGATGTCCTGTCTGTTTGCACAGGACACAAGCCGGCGGGGATTCGGCGTCTTTGGGCCCGGGACATTCTTTCGTGTTATGGGGTTCGAGGCACTTTACGCACCTGGGTGGGGCGGAGCAGTTGGCCGCCGCGTGACCATAAAGTTGGCAGCGGTGGTACTGCGCCGGGAACATGACAACAAACGAGTTTCATTATTATACCGCGATTAGCGTGTACGTTTTACGTTATGTCGCCTCTACACGTTGGCCAACACAGTGGCGAATGGAGTGGCGAATATATTGGCCGAGAGTTGGTGACGGCGTCCACACGTTGGAAGGTCGTTCAGTTTACTTCGGTTCGGGCCATTGGTTCGGACGAATTTATAATCACCGTGGCGCAGGGGCTCAGCAATGAGTGGCTGCACCGGGCGCCGCGGGTTAAATCCCGCACGGAACAAGTATTTGTATGTCCTAAAAATAATTGTTTCGGGTCTGTTTGTAAACTGCCTGCGCGATACGGGAGAAAATCCTAGTGTGGGGTTAACGTTTTTATAAAAGAATTATAAAATAATAGTGGATATTAATGGGGTTGTAAATAGATATACGATATACGATTAGCTTTATTTATTCTTTACATGCATCATAAACTGGAATAAATACCATTAATAAGAACTTAACTTATTTTAAAGTTAAAGGAGTTATAATCGATTAGTCTATGTTTTAAAATTGGGTTTTGATTTTAAAGTTTAGCAAAATATGTACTTGCATTTCTATCAGACATTTGATGTATTAAAAACACCTTATAATTTATTTGGTAATTTAATTATTTTTTGAGAAAGACAAAAACAATAGCAATAAATATAATTAACACTGACTTAATAATAGGTACTAATTATAACTTAGAACATAAATGAAAAACTCATGACGAGCAAAGTGGCTCAGGACCATGCTTTGCGGCAGTCTGTGGAGGAAGATGTTCAGTAGTGGACTTGTGAAGAGCTGTAATGATGATGATGATTCGAAAACTTGCACGATTAAATTATAAGAAATCGACGCTTTTTTATATAGGATAGGGTGACAAACGAGCACACAGTTCACCTGATGGTAAGTGGTTGCTGTGGCCCACAGACATCTACAACTATCTTCGATTACGAATCAAAATGCAGATGCGTTGTCACCCGTGAGGATTAAGATGAAATGCCTCTTTTCCTTTAAAAAGTGTCTCTGGTTCTCTACATTCACTATACGAAACACAGCATCATTAAGCTACTATTTTACATTGATATTCTGTGAGAGCGTGGTCCTTCCCCGGTCGAACCGACCCATTCGTGCTACAACTATACTTCTAATATAACTGCATGGTTCTACCACGTATAAACGACGTGCTTCATTTTTTTTTTGATTTTAAAATTGTTCTCGTAATAATCTGATTGCAAATAAATGTTCATTATTTTTTTTATAAATAGCTTATCGATTAAAACAAATGTTTAAAAATAATTAAATCGCGCGAATTAAAGTAGTAGGAATGTTTAAAGTGGAAATTGCACTAAAAGGCTGGTAATTGGGTCATCCACCCTACAAAGCGTGAATATAAAATTTTAATCAGATGCGTGTAATCACTCTGGGAGCTTGTAGCAAACTAAACTCGCGGCCAACGTGTGGACGCGGCGACCAAACTCTGCCAACAATCCTTTGATCTTTTGTAAAAAACCGACACCACACGGATCTCGCGCCAACTTGCGGGCCATCGTTCCAATACATACCAATGAAGCCCAAACACCCCGTCTACACGTTCGCCAATGCTATAGGCCACTACATTCGCCACTGTGTTGGCCAACGTGTAGAAGCGCCGTTATACAATTCCCGGCAATACATGTTGGCCGAGCGAGGGCGAGTACCAACGTATAGACACCCCATTGGTCTAGCCTCGCCATTACTTGCGTAGTATCCTCTTAGTAGTCTGTGCCATTACTCGTCGACGCTCGCGTAGCTTGCCGAGATGCCGAGTGCAGGCGAGCGCCAACGTGTATACGGTTCGTTTGGCGTGCCTTGCCGCCACTCGGGATCGCTCGCTACGGCTCGTTCGCTTCGGAACGGTGTCTGTTTTTCTGCACAAATCAAAGGCGCTCGCTTATGCTCGGCAAGTCGTGTCCACATGTTGGCGGCCATGTCAGCTTGCTACATATTTATTTATCTATGCATGTCAGTTACAGCTTGGCGTCCGTCCCAGTGATATATTGTTTATGTAATTAAATTGCAACTTTAAAATCATATATAAAAAAGTATTTGAATAATTATAAAAAAGTGTTTAAATAATTTCGACAATGTCACTCTGTAATAACGAGGATACCTTTAAGTTTTTGGAAATATACAAAAATGAACCCGTTATTTGGAACCCCAAAGACTTACACCACAAAGATAAAAAGAAAGTGAGTATTATTCGATTATTTTGTTTTATTTAAGTGTTTGTTTTTCCCTCAAATTCTTATATATAATATCAAATTTAAATAAAAACTTCGTCCTGTTAAGAGTAGCTATATCACATCTATCATAAGTAGCCTATGTAGTATATAGTAAATAAAGCTTTAAAATTGTATTGGCTGTAATAAACAGCCGATATGTCAATCAACCAATAAATTACACCTCATGTAAGTTTGGAATAACATTGTTTTATACTCAATTCATTTATTGCACTCCATATCTCCAAAGTTATTTAGGTGAATTATAATTATGTAGATCCTGTGAGGCTATAGTTTATTATGTCTCCTGGTTCTTAAAAAAAAGTGTTTTAAGATAATAATTTATTAGCATTATGGATATATTGGAAGATAATATAGAATTTGTGCCTTTTGAGAAGAGAAAGGTTAGAATTTCAGAATTTATTAATTTATTATAATTTCTTTTTTAGGTGCATGATTCTTGGGTAAGGATCTCCAATGAAATGGAGATTTCAATACCTGATCTCAAAAGAAAGAGAAGCTTTAATGGCCACATTTAGACAACACTTAAAAAAGAAAAAGGCTTCAGTATCTTCTGGATGTGGTTATGAAGACGTATATAAACCCATTTGGATATTTTATGATGTCATGGAGTCGTTTCTGGGAGATGTGTATGAATGTTCCAGTAAAATGGATAGGGACGATGCGCCGGTAAGCCGGCCGGGTCTAGATTTCGGCCTTTGGCACGAGCTGATGCAGTAAATTTGATTTAATAACAATTTTAATAAATATTATCGTAAGAAATACAGTTTAATGCATTTGTAAATAGTTTCACTATATCTGGTAGCATTAATTAATCAGGTAAACACAACACGCGATTTATAATAAATAGTTTAGTTTGACGCCGACACTGAAGCTATCAAAACGGGTAAAATCGAGCAAAAAAAATAGTGGCGAGCGTTCCATTCAAAAATAAGTTTCGTGCTGTATTTAATATAATTACTTAATATTGTGCTTATATTTCACTATATAACCTAATATAGTTATTTGACACTGATTATTATAATAATTTATTGATAAAGTTAATAAATTAAGTGGCCGAAAAGTGACACATAAAATTGTCCCATTATTTGGTTGTCGGCCATGCGGCCGAAAAGTAGCCTGAGTTTAGCCTAAATACTTTGTCTCTTTCGTTTATTTGGTTACGTACTATAACTCATCTTTCTTACTTATATTGAATCGTAGCGTGCGTAGACACTAACTTTAAGTTTTCGGCCACCAAGTACTGCAATTTGAACAGTTAGTGATGAAACAAAATACCCATTTCAGTCGTGGCCGAAAACTGGATTAACTCTAAAATATGTACAATTTAGTTTTCGGCCAACTTAAAATTGTATGAAAGAATACGGCGGCGGAAAATGGAATGCTGTCTTAGTTTACGTTTACGGCCATTTCATCTTATCATATCAAATATTTTATTCACATTGCGTTTTAGGAAGAAGATTCAAAAAGAAATTTTTTTTCTTCAGATGGCTCCTCTTGGTTAGAGATGAGAATGGTTAGATATGGTAACAGATTTTGTTAAACTAAAATACTTATGAGGAAGTACAAAATACTCGTAAATGAGAATATTTGATTGCTATATTTAAAAGATTTTATTATTAGATTATGATTCAAAGAGAAATAATTAATCATGGTTATTATTTTATATCAAAAACACACCCAAAAAAGAAAAAAATAACGTCACGGTTAAAAAATCGCAATCACCGATTGAGAAAACTAAATACACCGATTTCCCAAACCGTTTTGCCATTTTCTGATTTTACAAAAACACTTTTAAGTTTATAGTACCTCTTCTAATACAGTGGCCGAAAACTAAAATTCTTGTAGGCCGAAATCTAAAATTTGGGGCCGAAACCTAGCGTTTTGCATATTTTTCACATCAAAATTTATTATAAAAAATAGATTTCTTTTGTAGCATTAATGAGTTATCAAAATGAAAACTACATTATATAAGCTATAAATTAACATTAACAACACTAGGTCAACATAATCGCTATTATTTTTTATAATACCTTAAAGTTGACAACTCCACTAAAAGGCCGAAAACCAGCGCAACGACCCTACATTGGTAAATACCTAACTTAATCAATTAAAATAAAATACAGCACAGTTCACACAAAATGTATTTATTTCACACTTAAATCTATAGAATTACTAGAAATAATACAAACATATAAGATATAAACTATGATGCTAGTTTTATCATATTTTCTAATAATTTTAAACAAAAATCATTCGAATTAATCAGTTTATTAATCAATTTTTTATACTTGATGATAGTTTTTAATTACTGTTTTGAGCAAAATAATATGCAAAATTTGATCTTACTTCTGTTGCATTTCTTGGATTTCTGCGAGATATAGCTTGTAAGGGAAAGAAACCAGAATGATCTGTTCGTCTCCAAGAGCCAGGTACAATTAACTCGCCGTTAACATATCTATCTATTGTTCCATCTGAAGTGTATATATCCCGAGATGTGTTACTTTTCCGAAGAAAGTTATGTAAAAGAACACATGTCATTGTTACAATGGATGCTTTTTCTACATCCAGAGGTATAGGGTTTTTAAATACTCTAAATATGCTGGCCATAATACCAAATGTGTTTTCAACAATAACGCGAGAGCTAGAAAGCATTTGGTTGAAAATTCTTTGGGGGCTACTCATTTCGTGATTTCCAGGATATGGTTTCATTAAATTTGTGTGAGGTGCAAATGCTCCATCACCTAACATAACATATGGAAATTCAATATCCGACCCTGATATTGGACATGGCGAAGGGAAATTAATACTATTATTGTTAATAAGTTTTTTTCCACAATGCACTTTGTCTTAAAACACCACCATCACTTATACGGCCTTGGGCACCTACATCAGCAAATAAGAAGCAATAATTACTGTCTACTAGAGCCAATAGGACAATACTAAAGTCCCCTTTATAATTATAATATTCTGAACCAGTTTTAGGTGGGCATTGTAATTTAATATGTTTACCATCTAATGCCCCAACACAATGCGGGAACCTAAATCCTCTTGCTACAGTAAGCCATTCTTCTGGGGATGTAGGGATCTGGAACAAAAAATAGTATTATTTATTAAACTGATAAAATTTACTTTTTTTTCAGACACAAAGATATGAACACACAGTAGTCGAACCTCAAACGTATGAAACAAGAAAAGTGTTAGATGAACAAGAGGAGCTTGCACGCCCTGCAAATATCAACACACAGGAAGGACTTCCAACCCCCTCTAATAAAAACGTATTGAAGCGTCGTTCCTCTAACCCTCCTGAATTTCAAGAGGCAACCAGGCACATGAAAAGTGCATTGGGTACTATCAATGCTGTATTATCCAACAAAATGAACCAAGGAGATGATGTATATGACCTCTATGGAAAACTTCTAGCATCAAAATTGAAGAAGTATTTTTCTGATGTCGAACAACAGGAAGTCATGTGTGAATTAGACAATGTATTGATAAAAAGAATAAGGAATCGCCAAACACAGAGTTATATTTCTTCCCCAAGTACTCCGCGCTCTGTTTTTTCTTTTTCACCTGCATCACCACTTCAAATACACCGTCCTTCATCTTCCCAAACTTTTTATATTACATCAGACTCGCCTGTATCAATGCCACAGCAGCCATCTTCATCCCCTGGTTATCCTATGTTAAGCATACCAGAGCCAAATAGTATACTAACACCAAACATAATTATGTTGTCACCGCAACACCCACACTTTACTCCATCAACCACTACAGCAACATTGCCAGTACAGAAATCAGACATTTATAGTTCAACTTTTACTTCAAAACGTCAATCAGGAAATAGAATAAAAATTTTACATGATGAAGTGGTTAATTCGGGACAAATTAATCCAATTCGGGAAGCTTTTTCCAAAGCAGTTGAAGATGATATTTAATTTGTATTTTATATTTTATTTGTAATATTTGGTCCAGAAGAGTTTTTATGTTCATTTTTGGTAATGTTTTATGATTTTTTTTTATAATTTCATCTACTTAATAATCACATTTTTTTACTTATTTTTTTACTTTATTTTTTAACACTAAAATATATTTTATTTTGCGCAATGTTACTTTGGTTATCAATAGTATAATAAGTTTGTCTTTGTAGAAATTATTTAATAAATTTGAAAATATAAGTGTTGTTATTTAATTTTACCTTAACCATGTCCTTCAAAACTTCAATGAGTGCTCGACAAACTTCAGGAATTATTTTAGATATTAATTGACTGGATATTTTAAAGGTATGATGTAAGCTTCTGAAACTGTCACCAGTTGCTAAATATCGCAATGTTACTGCAAGTCGAATTTTTGCTGGTATGCTCTGCCTAAAGTCTGTGTCCTTTTTGCTGATTACTGGAGAGATTTTCTGAAGTAAATATTCGAAATCACTATCAGACATTCGTATAAAGTTCTGAAATTCATTTGATTCAGGTTCTTGCAGAAGTTCAGCAAGCTGATTCTCCATGCTTTTCCTGTAAAAAAGAAATCGTATTTTTTAAATGTTTATGAATTATCATAATACCATACGTTACGCTAAATAATTGTCCAACAGTTACAATAATTTAAAGTTAAAATCAAGTCTACCTTTACGTAAATTTTCTTACCTTGTTCTATTTCTGTGAATACTCAGCATCCACCACCTTCTTTTCTGCCTCTTCTTTTTAATGACTTTACTACAGAGTACACTGATATAATAATTATATGCACTCATTAAATAAATTGCAGATGCGGCAATAATTTCTACGTCGTCCATATCGTCCCAATTCTCAATGACAACTAATTACGGCCAACATGTAGATAGCTCCACAAAAACTCGTGAGTTAAGTTGATGTCTTCTCCACGTACCTAGGTACGTGCAGGTATCGGGCCTCGGGGTGTACCCCATTGCCCGGATATCCTCATACCCCATAACTATGGGGCAGTCACTTATTGCCTATCTTGGCGTGGTTATGCTACATTATATAATGTAGCCGGATAAGAATTTACTTTCCGTAGTTCACCGACTACGGAAAGGGAGGTAATCTATACAGGTAATCTATAAGTCTAAGTTGGCCTTTCTGCGGCATTGTGGGTTATTACTCGACTCTCTAATCACATATAGAGAGGAGTTCTCTTGGAAGAGGTCGCCCGTCCGGTGGCCGGGTGTGTAACGGCGCAAAGCCGTTCAGGTGTTCATGTGGCCCGTTATCGGCACAGTCAAACATGCCGCGCGCTAACCGGGCCACAAAGTCGGTGATGGTCTCGACTTTCAGATCGGCCGCTATGACGTCATTCCGGACGTAACGACCTGCTCCGACAATCGTCCTTAATGACAGGTTCTGCTGAGCCTGTAATCGCCGCCTCTGGGTGTCACTCAGAAGCGCGTACCAGGCCAGAGCAGCGTAGGTGGTAATAGTCCGGATATACATCTTGTATATCCGGAGCTTGGTCTTTATGGGCAGCTTGGATGCCAGGACCGGACGAAGCATCGCCCGCGCACATCTGGCTTTGCGGACGACGAAGTCGACGTGCGCAGTCATGCGCAGCGCCCGGTCGATCCGGCACCCGAGGTATGTCACGGCCTTCTCGTACGCGATCTTCTGGCCGTCGAGAGTTAGTGGTGGTGGTAGGTTTCTGAGACGGCGAGTGAGCCGAGCGGTCGTCTTACCAACGTTGACGACCATCCTCCACTCGTTCAGCCATGATGGCAACAGGTCCAGCAGACGCTGCATTTTGGCAGTGGCTATATGGGCTCTTCCGGACGAGGTGAAATAGGCGCTATCGTCCGCGTATAGCGCCAGCTCAACGTCGTCCTCCCATTCTTGCAGCCTGCCTGCCAATGTTGGGATGTCATTCGTGTAAGCCGCGTACAGGACTGGAGACAGACAACTGCCCTGTGGGACGCCGGCACTGATGGTTCTTGTTGCGGACTCGGCGTCCTCTACGCAGACGTAGAACTTCCTGTCTTCCAGGAAAGACGCCATTAACCGCAACATAGCAGGGGGGAAACTGGTCTGTTCGTGCAACTTATATAGTAATCCTGAGTGCCACACCCGGTCGAACGCCTTCTCGATATCGAGGAAGACGCCCAACGATATGCGGTCACGATTGTACTCTGCCGCAAGCAGGTGCAGCACTCTAGTCAGCTGTGTGACTGTAGAGTGACCCCTCCTGAATCCGTGCTGCTCCGCCCGAATTTGGATGCACGGACGGAGACGTCTTAGCAGCAGTCTTTCAAACAGTTTAGCTATGTGCGGTAATAGCGTAATCGGCCTGTAGCTGGCAGCTCTACGCCTGTCCTTCCCGGGTTTCGGCAGGACGATAATTTTGCCTTTTTTCCATTCCTCCGGGAAGTGGGATGTCCGCAATATCCCATTGTAGAGTCGACCAATCTCTACTAGGACTTTATAGGGCAGCTGTCGGAGTGCAGCGTTGGTAATCCCATCGTGCCCAGGCGCCTTCCTCGGTTGCAGGCGGTTTACTGTCCTCCGCAGTTCAGCGGGGGAGATGAACCACTCTCCTGCAAGAGGCGGCGCGGGCGACGACAGGAACTCCTGTACGCGACTCTCCTTTAGGGCATGAAGCTCCATGTACTCCGCACTTGCAGGGTTCGGCATAAATTGCTCCTCGAAGTGCTCTCCTAGGATATCCGCTCTGCCCTTGGCATCATAGCAGCGTTCGCCCGCATGGTTGGTAAGCGGGCAAACGGGAGGTCTGGTTTTGGTTAGCTGTCGGTTCAGTTTGTAGAGCGACGCATTTTGTTCTTCCGCCTTCCATATGCGCCGCTCCCAGGCCTCTCCTCTGTATGCCCGGACTGCCACCGACAGCTCCTCCGATAAGATGTTCAGTTGTGCTTTTAGTCTTGGGCAGCGAGTACGCGCCCAGAGCCTCCTAAGTGCTCTTTTGCGTTTTATCTTGACGCATATTTCCTGCGGCAGATCGTCACGCCTTTCTGTGATTGGGACGATCGTAGAGGCCGCGTGGAGGGCCTCCTGGATGTTTTTGGTGATTCTGGTTGCAGCGGCCTCTACGTCATCCGCTGTGTTTATGAGTTGGTCTGCTGGAGGTCTCGCCCGCAGGTGTTGTGCGTAGCGCCTCCAGTCAATGCGTGTCTTGAAAGCTCTGGGCGGCGTAGTCACCGCCTTAGTGCCAAGGGTTATCAGAATCGGGAGGTGCTGTGAGCTCAGGTCGTATAGCACCTCTACCACTACCGGGTAGTTGACGTTCCTAGAGAGCACGATGTCTAATACATCCGGATGTTGCTTCGGATCTGTTGGAACGTTAGTTGGTTCTTCGGGACCTAAAACGTCGTAGTTGTTTCTCTCTGAGTCTTCATATAGTGCAAGACCCGGCGGGGTGATCACTCTGGACCCCCACGCCGGGTGTTTGGCGTTTAGGTCGCCGGCGATTATAGGTGTATCGATTTCCATCACTGTCCGGATGTCTGAGGAGCAGAATGTAGTCCCTGGCGGGCGTTATGCTGCGTAGATCCTTAGTTCCTCGCCCGCCGCCTCCATTCTTATGCCGATAGAGCGCATAGTCTGGAAAGGTGGTAATTCCAGCTCTTGGTGGACGATGTCCCTCCTCACAAGAACCGCCGTCCCTCTAAAGGCGGCCCCCTGAGGGGTGACCTCGTCCCTTCTGTATAGGTGGTAATTAGGCAGCTTAATATGCGTCTTTGGATTAAGTTTTGTCTCGCCCAGCAATATAATGTGCAAGTCCTGTTGCTGGGCGACTGTGCGGAATTCATGAAGCTTCTGCTGTATTCCGCCCGGGTTCCAATAGAGGAGGCGCAGATTACTCTCCTCCGTAATGCCGGGCTAATAGATTTGCCAGCGCCTTCATAATTGCTGTAATTGGGTCAGTCCCGGCTCTGATATCAGCCAGGACTTGTGCACCGACCTCGATGGCAATACCAACTAAGCGTTGTATCGCATCTGCTGTCTCGAGGCCGGTGGCGGGTGTTCTCCTGTATGAAGGCGTTGGCAATTGTCTCGGGTGTGGATGTTCCTGGTCCTGCCCTCTTGGCTTGTGGGTAGAGCGCGCTCTAACTGTAGAGCGGGCTCTACGTTCTGGTAGGGCCCTTTCTGGCACTCTACCCACTTCTTTGGTCGACTCCCGAGTAATCTGCGCCTTTGAGGCTACTGGTGCTGATGGTGTCGGGGTAGAGGTAGCAGCCTGAGGAGGCTGCGACTTTTTCCTGCTCCTCTCCCGCCTCCTCTTCTTAGAGGGTTGCCGTTCTGTGGCAGGGTTGGCGGGAGGCTGTAGAGTCGCCCCGGTGGTTGCCCTTATCTCAGTGGGTTCCACCGTTTCTTTAGGTGTTACGGGTGGGGCGGGGGCTGATTGCCTGCCTTTCCCGGTGATGGTAGCCCACCCGTCTTGCTGGATGGTAACAGCTTTCGGGCGACTCTGGGGGATCCTTTTAGGGTCCTCCGGGAGTAGCCCCGGTAAGGTGATCCCCTGCCTCGTAGCAGTCCTCCTCAGGACTGGGCGGCGGCGGTCGTTTGCCGTGTGGTTCTTGCCACAGTTGGCACATTTGGGTTCCTCTTCCCTACACAGCTACACACCCTACACAGTTACACAGTGCTCCCCGGCACAGCGCACACATCTCACTGGCCTGAAGCAGTTTGCGGATGCATGTCCGAAGGCCTGGCAGCGGTGGCATTGAGCCGGTCCTGCTTTCCTTTGCCAAGCCTCGATGACGACCACTCTCATAAAGAGGAGTTCGTCGATGTTGTATAAATTCTGGAGCTGCTCCAGGCTCAGGTGGTGTAGTTGGGCAAAGTAGATGCAGCCAGGTCTGCCTCTACGTGGTGGAATTGCCTTAACATATTTGATAGGGAAGCCTTTTGCCCTTATGGCCTCCTCTATTGCCTTGGTGTCCGTGCCCATAGGTAGACCCCGGATGCCCACTTTA